CCGAACAATTGTAAGATCAGAAAATTGGAAATCGAAAAATTAAACACCGAGAAGCTAGAAAAACAAACAATTGAAGAAACAAAATATTGAAAAATCGAACAATTAAAAATCGATGCTGAAAAATTGATAAATCGAAAAATTGAGAAGTCAAAAAATAATAATCGAAAATTGTAAATTCGTTAAATAGAGAAATCGAAAAGTTGTATACTCGAAAAATTGAGACATTGAAAAATTGAAGAAACTGAAAAATTTAAATCGTGCTAGCTAAAAATATTGAAAAATCGAAAACTGAAGAAATGAAAAATTGAAAAATCCAAGGAATTATAAATCGGGAAACTTTTTTTTTTTTAAACTCGAAAAATTGCAAATCGAAAATCGAAAATTTAAAAACAAGAAAAACTGAATAATCGAAAAATTGTAAGATCAGAAAATCGCAAATTCAAAAAACTATAAAATGGAAAAATTAAAAACGGAGAAACTGAGAAATCGAAAAATTGAAGAAACGAAACACTAAACCATTGAAAAATCGGACAATAAAAAATAGAGCTGAAAAATTGATAAATCAAAAAATTGAGAAAAAAAAATTGAAGAATAAATCGGAAAACTGAAAAATTGAGAAAGTAAAAACTCCAGAAATTGTAAAACGAAAAATTGAAAATATGGCACAATTCGGAAAAAATCAAAAGTTGAAATGAAAAATTCATAAGCGAAAACTCGAAAAATGGCTAATCGAAAATCGCTAATTGAAAAACTGAAAAATCGAAAAATTAAAAACGGAGAAGCTGAAAAATCAAAAAATTGAAGAAACGAAACCTTGAAAAATCAAACAAAAAAAAATCGAGACTGAAAAATTGATAAATCGAAAAATTGAAAAATAAATCAGGAAACTGAGAAATTGAGGGAGAGAAAATTCACGAAAAACTGAAATATCGCACAATTCGGAAAAATTCAAAAGTTGAAATGAAAAATTCATAAGTGAAAACTCGAAAAATTGCGACTCGAAAATCGCAAATTGATAAACTGAATAATCCAAAAATAAATAACTGAGAAGCTGCAAAATAGAAAATTGAAAAAACGAATCATTGAAAAAACGAACAATAAAAAATCGAGACTGAATAATTAATAAATCGAAAAATTACATTTCGAAAAATTGAGAAACCGAAAAACTGAATAATCGAAAACGTGTAAAATCGGAAAATTGAGAAATTGAAAAAATCGGGACTGAGTAATTGGCAATCGAAAAATTGAAGAAATTCAGGCATAACGACTGCTAACTGAAAAAATTGAAAAATCAAAAACTGAAAAATGAAAAATTGAAATATCCAAATATTATGAATTAGAAAACTGAAAAATTGAAAGAAAGATAGAAAACTCGATAAATTGTAAAAACGAACAATTGAAAATATAGTAAAATTCAAAAAATTCAAAGGTGAAATGAAAAATTCACAAGTAAAAACTCGAAAAATTGCAAATCTAGACCTAAAATGAAAAACATTGTAAGATCAGAAAATTGCAAGAGAAAGTGAAAAATCGAAAAATTAAAAACCAAAAAACTTCAAAATCGAAAAATAGAAGTAAGAAAACATTGAAAAATCGAACAATTAAAGATTGAGACTGAAAAAGTGAGAAATCGAAAAACTAAGAAAAAAAAACTAATAATCGAAAATTCATAAAATGGATAAACTGAAAAACTTAAAAATCAAAAAATTGTATTCTCCAAAAATGGACAAATCGCAAAATTGAAGAAATTGAAGAATCTAAATACTGCTAACTGAAAAAATTGAAAGAAAGAAAACTCTAAAAATTGTAAAAACGAAGAATTGAAAATATCGCACAATTCGAAAATTTCACAAGTTTAAGTGAAAAATTCATAAATAAATACTCAAAAAATTGCGAATCGAAAATCGAAAAATGGAAAACTATAAGAACTAAATTATGGAAAAATTGTAAGATCAGAACATCGCAAATTGAAAAACTGAAAAATCGAAAAATTAAAAACCGAGAAGCTGAAAAATTGAAGAAACGAAAGATTGAAAAATACAAAAAAAAAGAGATAAAGACCCAAAAATTGATAAAGCGAAAAAGTACATTTTGAAAAATTGAAAAATCGAAAAATTGAAAAATAAATCTGGAAACTAAAAGACTGAAAGAGTGAACTCGAGATTTTTAAAAAACGAAGCATTGAAAATTTCGCACAATTGGAAAAAGTCCAAATTTGAAATGGAAAATTCATAACTAAAAACTCGGAAAATTGAGAAACCAAAAATTGAAAACTATGGAAACTGAAAAATCGGAAACTTATTAAATCAGAAAATGGTGAAACTGAAAAATCGAGAGTGAGAAATTGATAAATCGAAAAATTAAGAAATCAAAAAAACGAATAATCGAAAATTATATATTCATAAAATGGAGAAATCGAAAAATTGTATATTCCAAAAAAGGTGAAATCAAAAATTTGAAGAAATTGAGGAATCTAACGAGTGCTAACCGAAAAAATTGAAAAATCAAAAACGGAAAAACGAAAAATTGAAAAATCCAAAAATTATAAATTAGGAAACTGAAAACTGAAAGAGTGGAAACTCGAAAAATTCTAAAAACAAAAATTTGAAAATTTCTCACAATTCGAAAAATTCAAAAGTTGAAATGGAAAATTCGTAACCGAAAAATTAAAAATATAAAAACCGAATAATCGAAAAATTATGAGATCTGAAAATCGCAAATTGAAAGACTGAAAAATCGAAAAATTGAAGAAACGAAACATTGAAAAATCGAACAAAAAAATAGAGATAAATCTAAAAATTACATTTCGAAATTTATAATTTTTCGGAAGAAGGTACAAAATCGAAAAACTGAACAAACGAAACATTGAAAAATGGACCAAAAAAATCGAAACTGAAAAATTGAGAAATCGAAAAATTGGAAAATAAATCGGGAAACTTACACAATTCGAAAAATTCAAAAGCTGAAATGAAAATTTCATCAATAAAAACTCGAAAAATTGCGAATCGAAAATAAAAAAATTAAAAACTATAAAAACTGAATAAACGAAAAATTTAAAATTAGAAAATCGCAAATTGAAAAACTGAAAAATCAAAAAATTATAAACGAAGAAGCTACAAAATCGAAAAACTGATCAAAAAAAATCAAGACTGAAAAATTGATAAATCGAAAAACTGAAAAATAAATCGGAAAACTGAAAAATTGAAAAGGTGAGAAAAATTGTAAATATCGCACAATTCATAACATTAAAAACTAAAAACTCGAGAAATTGCAGATCGAAAAATGGATAAAACGAAAATTAAAACCAATAAAAACTCAATAACCGAAAAATTGTAAGATCAAAAAATTGCAAATCGAAAAGTCGATGAACTGGAAAACTGAAAAATCCATAAGTTAAAAACCGACAAGCTGAAAAATCGAAAAATTGACGAGCAGGAAGATTGAAAAATCGAACCATTAAAAATCGAGACTGAGAAATTGATAAATCTAAACACTACAAACCGAAAAATTGTAAAATCCTAAAATACAGAAATTGAAAAATTGAAAAAACTGAAAAATCTAAAAAACGCTAACTGGAAATTTAAAAATTGAAAAGCTGAAGAAACGAAAAATTGAGAAATATAAAAACTGAATGAACGGAAAAAATTGTAAATCGAAACACGGAAAAACTGAAAAATCGAAAATAGAGAAAACAAAACAATGAAAACTCGAACAATTACAAGTAAAAGTGAAAAATTGATACATCGAAAACTGAGTAGGTAATCGAAAAAGTGAAAAATCGAAAAAATTTATAAATTCAGAAATTGTAGAATCGAAAAGTGGAAAATTCGAAAAATTGAAAAATCCAAAACTTAGAAATCGAGAAAGTGAAAATTGGCAGTGTATATTTTAAATGCCGTAATTTATAATAAATGATTAACCCATAATTTTAATTTTTATTATAAATTCTGACGACTTTACTTTTAATTTAGAATTGCTTATACCAACTCAAGGAAATTAATGAATGAAACAATTTATTTTATTGTTAGTTAATTTTAAGACCCCAAAATTAATTTAAACTTCACCAAACAGTTCATTCATTACATAAAAAAAACATTATACAAAAATTTAAATGTATGTTCACCATGGTTGTCTAGAAGATATTCTTGATTAACATTTCCACATAACCGTCTTTTCTTGGACTAGAACTTCGTTTTCGTTATACGGAAGTTCAGCTGCATTATGTTGCATCCTGTCAGCAATGAATTCAGGACATACGATTTTAGGAAAACAAGACACTAGAGTCGGAAAAGCATTCCAGCGTAAGAACAACAACAAAAATAGACATATGCATAAAAAGTAAAACCGATAAAAATACCACAAAGATCGTGCGACATTTTCTTTGCCGCCAATTTGTGAGGAACTTGACCTTCCATTGAATTTTCTTGAGCATGCAAATCGACATTTGCTGGGAAACAACATATCTCGTCTCGACACGTAATGAAGAGATTGTAAAGTTCACTTTACGACCAGATTACCAAACTTCGTAATTATTTACATTTACATTCGCCAGACATGTCTAGAATATAATCGCGTTGTCTTACTCAAAGATATTAAACCTCTAACCGAAATTCGCCTCAATCAAATCGCTCGGGTGTTCAGTGCTGCTCAGCTCGGTGGTACCCTTTCATTAAAGTCTCCACGCCACAATGTTGCGTACCATCTCCACTCCCATGGTACGACTCTGCTAAAAATACCCATCGGCATCGCTCGAAATGGGCATGACTCGTCACCAACCGGAAGATCCTCGTCCGTTGCGCGCCAAACGACATCTTTTTCAGCGGTCTTCTCGTCTAATCCAAATGCGTCTAATTATAGTCTTGACCAGCTATAAACGCACGCAAGTGCTCTACACTGTTTTCCATCACGCCTCGGGCACATGTTCAACTTTTTGTTCCTGTTTAAGCCAAACGGGTTCCATCTCGTTGTTTAGATCCTCTCTCAATACGGTACGCCGGATCCCCTCTCCGCGCCATTTTTTTCGAAAAAATCGCCTCGCAAACAAGGCTTGAAAAATCTTTTCTCAACGGCCGGCTTAAAAGCTCTTCGAGCCGGTGGTGGGGGATAGTTGGGCCGCGACCTGACCGGAGGTGGTTCTGTGGCTATTTTGTAAATATTGGTGCGTCCGGTGTGCACGTTTCGAAACTGTGTTGGATTAATTGGCGCGGATTCTTAGTGACATTTGATAATCAATAGTTTTGCGCCTGGCGGTGGGATTCGACAAGAGTGGATCCGAGGACTTGTGACCTTTTGGCGCTGCTGGTTGAAGGTGCGAGAATTAGAATAGAGGGTTAAGGGATTAAATATTAACCATTTCATGTAACAAAATTTACCAAAAATTTATTTTTCTTTATTAATTGAGGGAAATTATGTCACATGTTGTTTAATTATTATCACTGAAGATAGATGAGTTTCACCCAACAAGAACTTCCTGTACTATCACAAAGCTCGTTTTCGAATAATAAAATATCGATTCGGTGAATCGGTCCATCGTCACGTTTCTCACTCGTAATAATTACGTTATTACACACTTTTCAAAGTCTGACACCACACGCTAGTGAAACGTATACATAATTACGAACTTTCAGTTGTTCGAAACGGTATCACCAGCGACGTGATTCTCCTTTCGCTATAATTTACTATAATTGTGAAAAATCAAAACTGCGGTAATATTCTGGTCCAAAAACACGTAAAAAATAATTCTGTTGCAAGTGATAAAAATTCTTTTCGTGCGTAGGTTTCCTGTACGGGTCTTGCTCCCGTTTCGCAACTAGAATTTTTAACACTCGTGCCATAAATAACTACTTTATTCCTGACCGAAAACTCACCAGTTTGTTACAGTGAAATAAACCTTTAAATTTGCAAGAAATGTTAAAGCAGTGAAAGGTCGATGCAGTTTTTAATGACATGTATTTGTAGCGTGATACCTAAAAATACTCAGTCCAAATATAACTGAATTTCGTATGACCGAAATAAATGTACAGGGTGTTTCATCTGAATGATAATACTTTTAAAAAATATAAAAGGGGTCGTATTGTAGTGCCATAATTAGTTCCTCTTTGGATTTTTCATCTTGTAATTTTTTATTCACTTTGAAGTATGAATAAGCAGGAAAAGGGGAGTAAAAATCTTGGACGGAAAACCGTCATTAATCAATCGTTTCATGGCAAACTGCTTGCTTTATGGGTACAACGTGCATTTTACGCCAATATTGTTGGTAATCGTTTATATTTCATATGTCTAAACTTGTAATTATGTGGTATATAAAAGGCGGAAAGGAAAATTTAACCTTTTCGTCCTATATGTGTGGAGAATTATTGCACCACAAGGAAGAAAACGCTCTTTCCCTTCAGAATTGTATAAAAATATCTTACAATTTAACATTGAAACTGGAAAATTCAATAGCAACATTTTACAATTTAATTTTGAAATTGTAAAACCCAATGCTCTGGAATCTTGCAAACGTTTTAAGATAGTTACGAACATGGTACATCGTTAATCACAACTTATTCGTTTATGCTCCTGTCAAAAATGATTACGTCATTTTACAATTTTGCCGAATAAATGTCATCTAAATTTTATAAAATAACATATTTTGTAGCAAAATTAAATTTTTTAAATGCTTTGTAAGTCAATTTTTTAAAATCATACGAATTGCGATATTTCAATTCATGGTCATGCTTCCGGATAAATGGTAGTAATTTTCGAAGAAATGGAACAGAAAATAACTTCTGGGGGTCGACAAAAAAATGTCTTTAGCTAATTTTCGAAGAAGGTCCAAAATGATCAAAAATTTCTAAAAATTGAAGTTTTAGAAAAATGTGCTACAAATCTCCAAAAAATCCTAATATTACCTACATTTCAATGGGCGATTTTGGAAAACTGGTCGAATTTTTCGGTGAAAATAATCCGAAAATGACTTTTGGCCGAAAAACGAAACGATAATAATTTTGGGTGGGGACGGTCAGTCAAATTATGGTTAACGATTTCTCGATTTTTCGAATTTTTTAATTTTTTGATTTTTCAATTTTTCGAGTTTTCAATTTCTCGTTTATCGATTTTTAAATTTTTGGAACTTTTGTTTTTTTATTTTTTGTTTTTTTTGGGTTTTTCGATATCTCAATTTTTTAAATTTTTGAATTCTAGTTTTCGATATACCAAAATCTCAGTTTTTCCAATATTGATTCTGCATTTTTCGAATTCTCAATTTCTCGATTTTCCAATTTCTCACTTTCTCCATTATTTGATTCTGCATTTCTCGATGTCTCAATTTTCTGTTGCTAGATTTCTGGATTTTTCGACTTTTCCTTCTGAATTTTCTTTTCTTTCGAATTTTCATTTTTAATTTCGTGATTTTTGAAATTTACAATTTTTTGATTTTGCAATTTTTCGTTCATCGATTTTTAAATTTTTGTAACTTTTATTTTTTTTTTCGTATTTTCGGTTTTTCGATATCTCAATTTTTCAAATTCTTGAATTCTAGGTTTCGATTTACCAAATTCTCAGTTTTTCTAATATTGATTCTGCATTTTTCGAATTCTCAATTTCTCGATTTTCCAATTTCTCAGTTTCTCGATTATTTGATTCTGCATTTTTCGATGTCAATTTTCTGTTTCCCGATTTCTCGCTTTTTCGAATTTTCGTTTTGATTTTTCGAATTCTCGATTTATCATTTTTTCGATTATTTTCATTTTTCGGTTTTTCTATTTTTCACTTTTTCATTTTGATTTTTCGTTTTATCGAATTCTCGATTCTTTGTTTTTTCGATTGATTTTTTGATTGTTCGATTTTTCGAATTTTCAATCTTTTAATTTTTCAAATTTCCAAGATCTCAATTTTTCCATTTCTCGATCTTCGAATTTTAAATTATCAAATTTTTTCTTTTTTAATTTTTCAAATTTTCGATTTTTCTCAATTTCTCGATTTTTCAAGTTTTTAACTCTGCATTTTTCGATATTTCGATTTCTCGATCTTCAATTTCTCAGTTTGTCGATCTTCCGGATTCTTAATTTTTGGATTTTTCGAATTTTCAATTTCTCGATTTCTCAGTTTCTCCATTTTTTAATTCTACATTTTCCGATTTTTCAATTTTTCGATTTCTACATTTTTCGAATTGTGATTTTGATTGTTCGATTTGTCGAATTTTTAATTTTTCATTTTTTCAATTGTTCGATTTTTCGATTTTTCGGTTTTTCGATGTCTCAATTTTTTAAATTCTGGAATTCCAGTTTTCGATTTCCCAAATTCTCAATTTTCCCAATTTTAGTTCTGCATTTCTCGATTTTTCGATTTCTCGGTTTTCAATTTCCCAGGTTCTCGCTTTTTCGGATTCTCAATTTTTGGATTTTTCGAACTCTGAATTTCTCGATATCTCAGTTTCTCCATTTTTTGATTTTTCAATTTCTATTTCTAAATTTTTCGAATTGTCATTTCGATTTTTCGATTTGTCGAATTCTCAATTTTTAATTTTTTCGAATGTTCGAACTTTCGATTTTTCTGTTTTTCGATGTCTGAATTTTTCAGATTCTGGAATTCTAGTTTTCGTTTTCCCAAATTCTCAATTTTTCCAATTTTGATTCTATATTTCTCGATTTTTTGATTTGTGAAATTCGCGTTTTTTCATTTTTTCGATGGGACGAATTTTCTTCCATTTTGCTGTTTTTGGGTGCCTCAATTTTTCTAATTCTGAAATTCCAGTTTCCGATTTTTCAAATTCTCAATTTTTCCAATTTTGATTCTGCATTTCTCGATTTTTCGATTTTCCGATTTTCGATCTCAATTTCTCAGTTTTTCGATTTTTCGGATTCGCAATTTTTGATTTTTCGAATTCCCAGTTTCTCCATTTTTCAATTTCTGAGTTTCTCAGTTTGTCCATTTTTTGATTCTGCATTTCTCGATGTCTCAATTTTCAATTTCTCAATTTCTCCATTTTTCGAATTTTCATTTTGATTTTTCGAATTCTCAGTTTTTTGGTTTTTTAGTTTTCTGAGTTCTCAGTTTCTCGATTGCTCGATCTTCGAATTTTAGATTATAGAATTTTTGCTTTTTGATCTTCCGAATTTTCGATTTTTCGCTTTCTCAGTTTCTCGATTTTTCAAATTTTGCGTTTTTCGATATTTAAAATTCTCGATTTTCAATTTCTCAGTTTCTCGATTTTTCGGATTCTTAATTTCTCGATTTCTCAGTTTTCGACTTCTCCGTTTCTCCCTTTCTTGAATTTGCATTTTTAGATTTTTCAATTTCTCGATTTCGAAATTTTTCAGTCATTTTGATTTTTCGATTTTTCGAATTTTCAATTTTTCATTTTTTCGATTGTTCGAATTTTGGGTTTTTCTGTTTTTCGATGTCTCTCAATTTTTTAAATTCTGGAGTTCTAGTTTTCGATTTCCCAAATTGTCATTTTTCCAATTTAGATTCTGCATTTCTCGATTTTTCGTACTTGTCAAATTCTCAATGTTTCATTTTTTCCATTGTTCGAATTTTCAATTTTTCTGTTTTTCGATGTCTCTATTTTTCACGTTCTGGAATTCTAGTTTTCGATTTCCCAAATTCTCAATTTTTTCGAATTTCAATCTCAATTTCCCGGCTTTTCGATTTTTCGGATTCTCAGTTTTTGATTTTTCGAATTCTGAATTTCTGTTTCTCCATTTTTTAATTCTGCATTTTTCAATTTCTCGATTTTTCAAATTTTTATTTTTATTTTCCGAACTCTCAATTTTTTGAATTTTCAATTTTCCGAGATTTCAATTTCTCGATTTCTCGATCTTCAAATTTTAGATTATTGAATTTACGATTTTTGATTTTTCGAATTTTCGATTTTTTAAATTTTTGATCCTGGATTTTTTAATGTCTCATTTTGATTTTTGGAATTCTCAATTTTTTTATTTTTCTATTTTCCGAGTTCTCAATTTCCCGATTTTTTGAATTTTCGATTTTTCGATATTTCGATTTCTCGATTTTCAATTTCTCAGTTTCTCGGTTTCTCAGTTCCGGATTTCTCAGTTTCTCCATTTTTTTATTCCAATGCTTTTTCGATTTTTCAGATTCTCGATATCTAAATTTTTCGATTTGTGGAATTATCAATTTTTAATTTTTCCGATTGTTCGTATTTTCGATTTTTCTAAAATTTCCCACGTTTCAGTGGACGATTCTGGAAAATCTGCAAGATTTTTCGGTGAAATTGACCCGAAAGAAACTTTTGGATCGAAATCTACAAGAAAATATCTTTCGCACATTTTCGAAGATGATGGAAAAACGAAATGACGTTAA